TGCTGCCCCGGGGCCCCGACAACCCCCTCCGCCGCTGCCCGTCCGGCCAGGACAGCCGCTTGTCCCAGGAATGTTGACCGAGGGGTCGAGTCCTGGGCCGCGGTAAACGGGACGCAGAGCGGGAAACGCAGAGTCCGCTCACTGAGCTCTGCGTGCCCAGCCGGCGTGCCGCGCCCGACGCTGCCGGCGCCCGGGAGAGTGCGAGGTGAACGTCGGACACGAGAGCGGGACCTTCCCCCTGAGGAAGAAGAACAGATCGCACCAGTATCGCACACTGGCCAGGCTGCGGCAGCAGAGCTACCGAGCAAAAATCCGGAACCTCCGCATCATTTGAAATTACAACTTCAGCTGTATAAGTATGGCAGCAGTGGCATCCAAAATACAGTCCTTCTTCATGACGTGACGTAGTGATACTACGTACGCACAATAGAAGCACAGGAAGTTAGATAAATCTCATTTTCATCTTTTTTGCGTACCTAAGGATGGTAATGGTAGCCAACGTTACTAGGAGGAGGAGATCAAGATGGAAGGAGGGTTTTTCCTAAGGTTTAGGACTTGCCACTAACGCAGTTGCAATATACAGACAGCTGCTAACTTGATCACAGCTAATCATTCACAGCTAATCTACTGCCCGAAGGTGAACGATGCAACAATAGCAACAATGTTTGTTTTATTGTAGGGTACTGAAGGAACTTGGAATAAATATGACAGATGCGGAGAAGGAGTGTGGAAAGAATTAAAAAGTCATGTAAGGGGACACAAAGTGAATGGAGGAAAACATGAGAAAGAAAAATACCACTAAAGAAGAACAGAAAGCACAGGCACCCCCAACCAGCAAAGATGAAATCTATGAATAACAGGGAAAAAAGCAATTATTAAGGTAAATTAGAGCATTGAAAATATATGTACAAAGAATTAGTATCATGCACAGCAAATGGCCTGAGGCCTGTAGGCATTATTGTAACGTACTTTTATCAGATGATAGTTACAAATGTAAAGCAAGAGCTAGCTGAAGTATAAAGAAAGGGCGTGTAACTACTGATAGGAGAAATACAGTGAAACAGGGAGGGGAAGCAGCAGAAGGGAAAAAATACTGTATCCTGCCACCTCTGTTATGTCACCATTTTTCGTTTGTGGAAGTAAGAATGCCACAGAAGATGACCAAATACTCCATGCTTAAGGACATTCTATTTTTCTACCTGCTCCCAGCTGCACACCAAACTTACTGTTACTAGTGTACCTACTTTGGAATTTCCTATGCCTGTAGCACCCCAGCTTTTAATAATGAAGATCTGATTATGTGACTTTTGGGATCAGTTTGTAAGGTACTTGCCTAGGCATTGAAGAGGTCTCAGCCTGCTGATTCAGAGTATCTGTGAACAGTTGGAATTATTCCAGAATGAGCTGGGTCTAACTGAGCTCAAGGGTGTCTGTGATTCCTAGAGGGGTACATTACATTACAGAAAAGAGAAGTTCCCTTTTATAGGCTGTTCAGTTAACATGAATCAAAACTTATCTGTTAATTCGATGCCTGAACACTCCCCCTGCCCCTTATTTTATCAGCAAACTTAAGTTTGCAAAGTGTCGGAGTACAGATTTTGAATCAGTACTGTTCTATTCTGGTTTAGATAAAGTAGAAAATGAGATTAAATTATGCTGTAGAGAATAATTTTATTACCCAATAGTTAATCTTCCTTGTCTTTCAACAGAGCAGTAATAAATAAAGGGTCACCATGACTTACTTATTAAGTCAAAAGGTTGAAAGTTTTCCAGCAAATTAATGTTTTAAGAAAAATTAAGTCTCATATTAAATACTTTTAATGCTCTTCTAAATGTGCTTCAGCTGTTGATAAACTGAAAACTGCCTTCAAAATGCACAAATGTCATCTGCAGGACACCAAAGCCAAATTCCTGTCATGATGGTCAGCAAAGTTGTGCAATTTCCCATTTCTTACACGGGGTGGCACAATATAGCTGGAAATCTACGAAGTGTTCAGATGTAACCTGGAAAACAAGCAAACAAGAGGTCAGAGCCAACTACTAGGGAATGTTGAATAATTCTATTTTTAAACATCAGACAATTGCAAATATAAGCAGATTCTCACATGAAAGCTTTACTGAAGAGAACAGGCTTGAAGGAATAATGCTCTGTTGCATGAATTTTGTCCTGTACATGGGAAAAATCAACTGTAACACAGTTTCGGGTCTGAAATAATTCACAATAACCTCTAAATAGAAAATAGCCATCAAAAGCAACAGAAGAACAAAACATTCACCTTTTTCATGGTCTTTTTCCATTTTACTTATTAGAAAAATATTTTCTAGTAATCTAAAAAAAAAAAAAAAAAACAACTAGATTAAAAATGCCTCCCTTTCAAGTGGTTCAAGCAACAGCTCAGAAATGTTGGAATTTTAAAACATTCATTTGAAAGTCTGTCTCTGGAGTTGTATGTAGAGACTGCATTTGTATAGAATTCCTCCTTGCCATTTTCCCTATACAGGAAGTACGAATACTGTTTTTTTCCCAACTTTATTTTGCCCTTTTTTGATGATAAGGGCTTTGGGCTGTAGTTTGCCTCTGCTTTTGTAGTCCATGCACATAACTTGGCTCTTGTCTTAGACACCTGTGATACAAAATGACAAGAGCAACACCTTATAGAGTGGTAGCTTTCAGATATGTGGACAGGAAGTAAGTGGTGCCTAATATTTTGCCTCAGTTCTGGTAATTCCTGTGGGGTACATCATCACCTCTTTAAAGGCATTCTACTGCAATCAGTTGTCACGCTACTGTAGCTAGCTGAGTTTCATAGTTGCATCCTCTTTGCATATCATGGGGTAAATTATTGAGCAGAAAGTGACACTCGCCACAGTCCTTCTATGTCCCTGTGTACTTCTTCCCAAACCTCCCTGAACTACTTCAGATACAACCCATGATGCTGTAGTGGACTAGTTCTTCTTTAACAGACTTGCACTTCACATCTCCTAGCACTCCTCCCTGTCATTTTGCCTTTTTCTATCTCAGAACGAATACCTCATTGTTGAAAAGAAGTCAAGGTCTAAGTCAGGTTTAAATGAGGATCTTGTGTTTGGAATTCAGCTAGAGAAGTACAAAAATACAAAGAATGCGCATCTTTCATAACAGTCAAGCCAAACCCCAGACCTTTGCCATTTCAAGGACCTAGCTATTACCTACATACAAAAGAGAGTCTATTCATCATCTGTATGTATGATTTTCAGTTTTTTAAATACATTTTTCCTATCAGAGAGCATCACAGTTTGTTGGGTACAAACAGCCATACCAGTATGGGAGAAAGGAAGAGCCAACTTGCTAGCCATGAGAGTCTTCATGTCTGCATTTGTGTGTGTGGTGGGGGAAATCATGATTATCTTGTTTACAGAAGTTATTGATGTTCTTCATTAGTATTTAAATAAGATCTTTCTATCTGCAAGTGAAAGGTACTAAATACATTGCTACTAATACCATATTTGCTAACTACTGTGCCCTCAAGAAAAAAAGATATTAATCCTAAATTTCACTTTGGTTGAAAACTGAGGCACCCATTAACTGTGGGAATAACGTGGAAAAATAAAAGCAGTAAGAGATCGCTTGCATCTGCCTCTTCCAGATAAATACCATTGGACAATTCCAGTGCGCCAGTAGAATTGCAGACAAACGTGTGGCTGTATACTGTTAACTCATATTTCCTAATTTGTGCTAGAAAGTATGCCTATCTCAGAAAAAGGACATAGTTACACGTAGGTACAGATAACTTCTGTTTTCTGAGGTTATTTTCCACGTAGGTATTTTTGACATGGTAAACATCTTCCTGTGCCTCGTAGAAAATGTCTGATCTTTGCCATTTGCAGTATCAGCTTAATGTCTACCATAATGCTGTGTTAATAATATCATTTTTATCATACTGTGGTCAGAATCCAATATCAAGTGTGGATGAATCACATCAGGAAAATATTTATGCATAATCAAAAAAATCTGCAACTTCCTTCATATGAAACTGTTGAGTTCTCAATTTGTGTTTATGTGTGTTCTGATGGTCAGGCTGTTATTCATACTTGGATGCAGTATGAATTCAGCGATACTTGGTTCAGCTCACTTCTTACAGTTTCTGAAAAAAACATGAAGTACCCCGTTACATGGACAGAAGATATCTTTGCTGGTTGAGCTTGAGGGGAAAACTGGGTACAATTATATATTCTTTTAATTATTCATGACTTGGGTCTGAAGTGAATGTGTATACGTTTTTCACTTATTCACTTTATAAAATTCAAAACTAAGCCCAGAAGCAGTTTTATTCTTGGCAGCGTGACAAGTTTCCTTTCCTCAACGAACCAGTCAAAGGAATTGTTCCTCAGAGAGTTTGTCATCCTCACATATCCCAGAGAGTCGGGAGGGGAGCTGGCATTCATTACACCCCCCATCGCACATACACTTGCGCACTCTCTCCCTCTCTCCCTCTCTCCCTCTCTGGCTGTGACAACAAGCCCATCTCAGAGGACTGTGTTTATATCTAGCATGTGGTTTCATTTGTGTAGCTGATTTGCAGTTCATTAATCTAGAAAGCCTTGCCCAATTCTGGTAAGGACAATGTATCCATCCGTATTCTGCTTATTACGCCTCCTATCCCTGATGCAACACACAGTTTAGAGAGAGGGAATCTGCTCTGTTTTGCAGAACAACTAGAGCAAAAGCCGCTCAAGAGCCAAAGCTGATGTAAACATACATTAGGAAATTGTTTTGATCTGGCCTATCAGGCTGCTGGCAATGCACTGTGCTTCCTTGGGAGACATGCAAATTTATGGGACACGACTTGACATGATTAAGGCAATGCATACAGAACAGGTAATTGCCCTTCGGCAAGAGAACGATGTCAAGAACCAATGATTCTTTACGTTCTTGGCAGTGCAGGTAGGATCATGAAATTAGGGGCCTCTTGCAGATTCATTATAATTTAGGTGTTGGGTTGGCTATTTTTTAAACTATGTTTTTCCAGCTTTTATGGTTGTATTACTATTAGTTGTTTCTCTTGCAGGGGAACCTAAGGACAATAGTCAATTTGTAGTCTTCAAAACCTAAATCTGTATCT